TGCCGGAGCAACTTCTGATCACCAAAAGAGGTAAAAAAAAACTTATTTTCTCAAAATTCAATTTTGAACACCTCCATGGTCAAATCAGAATAAGAGGACCGGCAGATGAGACGAAAATGGTAGGTAAAGCCTAGCAGCGCCGCATAAAAAAAAAAATAAAAATTGCCTCTGATGACGCCCTTCCTGATTCTCGTTTCGTTCAGTTTTCCTACCATTGTAATCTCCATTTTTTTCTACAAATTGATCGAAGCAAAACACCCAATTGCAAAGGTGAGTGGGCGGAGCCACCGCACCGGAAACCCTGTCGCCGGTAAGCCCCTGTTTTTTGACTTTTTTCAGTCAACCAAAGCTTCTTAATGTGTTTTCTCGCAGGGAGGAGTACAAAACTAGTTAAAATCGGCCAAAACTATTCAAAAATGGCCAACTTGAGGGAAACCACCGCCGCAGGCGGCGGCACAGTGCTGGAATCCTGAAATTGGCTAAAAAGGGTTTCTAACACCGATTTTGAGTTTTTTGAGGTATTTTTTAGTATTTGGAGCGTGTTTTAATCCCTGAAGGAAAATTCAGGGAATCCGGAGACTGTCAGTAAGCGCAATTAAAAACTTAACATTGCAGACATTGATTCGAGTAAAAATTTCTACCTTATTTCTTATTATAGAACTGAAATTTAATTATAAATAAAATGATATTTTATATAATTTAAAAATATCGATAATTAAATATTACTAATGGAGCCGGGACCTATTATTTATTACTGTTTGCTATGTTTAACTGATTGATTGATTTTAGAGTTTCGAGTGCATGATAATATACTTAAATTTGTATGATAATTTGATTGTGTTTACTTGATGCATGTATTGCTTGTTTAACGTAATTTACAGTTAATTGGAAAACTAAAAATTAAAGATAAACAAAAAATTATTTGATTTAGTGAACGGATGAATGATAGCCTTACTGGATATCTTGAGAGATTGTGGACGGACCAGGTATATAGGGAACCCTACCGTGAACGTTGCCTTATACCGGATAGGGTATCGAAGATTTGTATTTTGGTGCTCATACCGGATAGGGTATGGGGACGACCCATTTCACCATCATATCGGACGGGTTATTGAGGGATGGTATCTTTTGACGCTCATACCGGACGGGGTATGGAGACAACCCGTTAGTTGAAAAGATTGAATAAAGGTTCACACATTGTAGAGATATCCCTATGGACCCCCATGAATACCGGTAAACTGATAAAGGAGAAAGTTGTTGTTCCGACTGATTGAATATGAGATTATAGTATTGTTTATGTTATTGCCTCTATAGGTCGGTTTTACAAATCTCGCTACGGTAAATATACGATAAATGATTTTATTTATAAAAAATGAATTTACTTAAATTGAGTGTTCTATTAGTTATTTTTATGATTTTTACCAACTTTTATTTCTATATAGGTGAGTAGCGTGATATTCTTAATGGATTAGTGTAACTCACTCTTTCATTAACTATTTTAGATTAAGAGAACCAAGATTCAGAACTCAATTCACAAAAGAGTTGCGAGTAGGACGTTCAGTTTGTATACTTTTCTTATATTTCTTTGATTATTAGTTGTTCTTTTAGAATAGTCATTCCCGTAACCCTATTGGGTATCCTGAATTATTGTGTAACGAATGTAAATCCTAACATTATTATTTCGCTTCTACACTTAATTTATAATTTATTTTGTTTCAAGTTCTAGGTTGTTACAGATGGGGCTGAGAAGTCCGATACTATTAAGGATTGAAAAATATTATTCACCCTCATACCAGATGGAATATTGAGGCGATGACATATTTTGGTGCCCATTACCGAATGAGGTATGCAAACAGCTAGTTAATTAATAAATTGGATATTTGGTCCACGCATAGAAGAAATCCCTATGAACCCCTAGAGGTACTAGTAATTAGGTAAAAATGTAACGTTTACTATTATTATTCCTTTAAAATATGTAATAAACTTCTATCTTGATTATTGCCTTCACAAGTCGAACTTAAAAACTTAAAAATAGTGGGTATAAAGTTTGTGTTTTTTACGTTAAACGAATTTATTTAAAAAAATAGTTTTATTAGTTATTTTATGATTTTTTACCAATATTTAGTTTTTCGTATCGGTGTTAAGTATTGACATTCTTACTAGATTAGTGTAACTCATTTAACCATTTCATATCAAGAAAATTAAGATTAGAATCCCAAACAGGAAGAAAATTAGTGACTGAAGATTGCTTTCCGTATCATATCAGAGTTGCCTAGTGGAGATTGATCCTATAGAAT